CAGCTTTAGCATTAGCAGTCCTAGCTTTAACATTAGCAGCTTTAATGTTAGCAGCTCTAGCTTTAGCATTAGCAGCTCTAGCTTTAGCATTAGCAGCTTTAGCATTAGCAGCTCTAGTTTTAACATTAGCAGCTTTAGCATTAGCAGCTCTAGCTTTAGCATTAGCAGCTCTAGCTTTAACATTAGCAGCTCTAGTTTTAACATTAGCAACTTTAATGTTAGCAGCTTTAGCATTAGCAGCTCTAGCTTTAGCATTAGCAGCTTTAGCATTAGCAGCTCTAGTTTTAACATTAGCAGCTTTAATGTTAGCAGCTCTAGCTTTAACATTAGCAGCTCTAGCTTTAGCATTAGCAGCTTTAGCATTAGCAGCTCTAGCTTTAGCATTAGCAGCTCTAGCTTTAACATTAGCAGCTTTAATGTTAGCAGCGTTAGCATAGCGGTATGCTCAGATAAACCTGAGTGGTGAACTGAAGAGGCTCAGTCTGCTCCGCTTGTCCCATCAGTCAGCAGGTGATGCAGGAGGTGCATTAACTTAACAAGGTGTTAAATGTTTTCATTCAGCGGTGGGATGATTATGATAGGAGGTCATTAATCAAGTCTTTTCCTCGTCTCCGCCCAGGAGAGTAATTAGTCTGTCATTCTGCCCGTCCTGACCGAGTCTCCTCAACTTCTCCGCCCGCCGACGACAACAGAGGAGTTTGACTTTAACGATCTGCGGCTTCGCTCCCTCAGAGCGGCGGCGGCTCGCTGCAGAACCAAATCAATGCAGAATGTGGAAAACAGGGAGAGGCGGCTTTATTAGATGGAAGTTTAAAGGGAAGCAGTGTGGAGTCGTGGTCTGCAGCTGGACGCTTTGATGGATTGAGCTTTTCATTGGGAGAGACGAGCGAACGGAGGAGAGCTGCAGGGCCTCTCTCTCCATCACTACAACATTTTTCTTCATTTCTTCCTTTCATCCGTCTTCTCTCCACCTTCACTGGTTTTTTTCCTCCTTTCTTCTCCTTCGGTCTCTTTTCCTCCAAGGTCAGCTCGATGTTTCAGTCCTCTGGTTTTTCCCTCCATGCAGACGGATTACCTGAACTTTAACTCATCCGTTATCAGACATCCAACATGGCCGCTCATGATGCAGCAGCTCGTTGCTTTTTCTGGACTTTTCTTCATCACTTGTCTGGTTGAATTGCTGCTTTCTGCCTTTCTGCTGCGTAACCATGGCGACCGTCTCTTCCAGCCATCATAATGGCGGAGAGTAGTAGGAGAAAGTAGCAGCAACTTAACGACAGCAACAAAACGTTCAGCCAACCTGCTCAGGGTCAGTTTTTATTTTAGTGGAACAAGGTTTTTATTTCCTCTGTTTTTAACGACATTATTTGTTTAAACTGCTGACGTTTTCTTTCCTTCCAGTCGTTTCCTTTTTGGTCTTGTTTGAGCATTTGGTGTATTTTTTTCCATTTTAATTTTCTGTGCCATCTTCTTCCTGTAGGGTCTCAGTTATTTACTTATTTATAGAAATACATTAAATCAGGCACTTTTTGGTATTTTACCTGTCATTTGTGTCGTTTATCAGATGGACGATTTGATCAGTTTTCTGCTGCCATGTTGGGTCTGGACAGAATCAGAGTTTGTTGATCACTGTTTAGTGTTTGATATCCTGACTCCGCCCCCCGATGCTTGCAGAGTCTCCCATTGGTCAGATGCGGCCACCGCACGGCAGCGTGACGCCTCAGAAGAACAGCTACCTGCTGGTCATCATCCTGGTCTCCGTGGGCGCCATCAGCGTGGTCGTCGTCACGGCGCTCGTCTGCATCCACCGCTCGTCCTCCCAGCAGAGGAAGTGAGGCGCTGCTCCGACTTCATGCTCATTTTATCTGCAATGGAAACATAAACAGAAAACATTGTTTAATAGATGAAGACAAGCTGGAACCAGGAGGGTTTCCAGTCTCTGTGTTTGGCTGGTTAGTTCCAGATCTGTGGTGAATAGAAGCTGAAAGCTGAAAGCTGCTTCTCCGTGTCGGGTTCTGGTTCTGATGCAGAACCGGAAGCAGCAGTGTGGTTCTGATGTTTCTGTCCGGTCCGTTGACTCGTTCACTGACTGACCCGTTGACCCGGCAGGAAGCGGGCCAGCCACGGCGCCGGGAAGCGTAAGGGCAGCCAGAAGGAGCTGCGGCCGCCGGACCTGTGGATCCACCACGAGGAGATGGAGATGAAGAACCTGGAGAAGGCGCCGAGCGTCGCCCCGACCGGACGCGACTCGCCGCTGCAGGCCTGCCAGGACCGCCCCCAGGTGGCCCACAGCCAATCAGAGAGCCAGATGGGCAGCAAGAGCAGCCACTCAGGTACCGGCGGGCGACCCGGCAGAACCTCAGGGCTCTGCTCAGAGAAACGTCCGGAGCTAACGCAGCGTTTCCTCCAGGAGCCGACGGCGACGAGGCGTCCAGCGGCATCTCCACTCTGGACCGGTCCATCACGGCCAGGAGGGGAACCAGGGGCAAGATGATGATCCCCATGGACCTGCAGCCCAGCAGCACGCGTAGGTCACACCGGGGCGGGGTGTGTGTGTGTGTGTGTGTGTGTGTGTGAGAACTGGACTTCTGGTTCTGCTCCTTCAGATATCAGCCGATTCATTCCTGCTCTGTTTGCTCGTCGATCTGATGAGGATAAAGAAACTCAGGATGATTCCTGACGAACGTCAGTCTGGATTATTGTTATTATCCAGAACCGGGCCGTCCAGAACCGGGCCGTCCAGAACCTCCGGCAGCGCCGCTCCGGCTCGCTCCTTTAAACTCCAGAGCTTTTCTGCCTCTCCTCCTCCTGGGTGATGGTTCTGATGAGTTGTTTCATATTCGCAGCATTAATTCCGGCGCCGGATGTTCTGCTGCGCCGCTCCGCTCGTCCTTCAGGGAGCTTATTAAAAGATAATTTGGGCCGAAATGAGGAGATGATGGACGCCTGGTGGGGAGAACAAAAACTCTTTGTTCCTTTTGCTTAAACTCCAACAGCTGAAGATCCAAAAACTCCCAAAACGACCAAATATTATGAATGTGGATCGACTGCGAGTGTTTTAATGCACTTTAGATAAAACTGACTGACTCCAAATATAGAAGCTTATTTAGGTCAAAAATTCCTTAAAAGAACAAGTTCATGGAAAAATGTCTCGTTATGATCACAGTTACAATCCATCAGATTACAGCAGCAGGTTACTGCCATCAGGGATTATAATCCAATAATCTGCCAGAGGAACGAGTTCTTTTCTTTCATCAGATTTAATGGAAAATTATCTGAAAAGTTACTGGATATTTAGTTTTGTCGTATTTTTATGAAATATTTGGACTAGAAAAAAGACAAAA